TGTTTGGCTGGGGCGCCTGTAACAAGAGAGAGTAACAAAGACAAGCACACACATTTATTTAACCTAAATTTTACATGACACAAAGCCTTCATAAGAAAAGGAAGATCCAAGAAACCATTGGTTAAATCTGAGGGTTTTTATATTAGGTTTGACAAAAAGTATAAAGACACGGGAAAATATGATAGGAAAAAGGTAGGAAGTAAGTGTGGTAAACTGTGGGGAAATTTAGCAAAGCCTGTTCTTTGAAATTCATCTTCGGAGATGAGGACGCTCCTTTCTTCCAGGCAGAGGGAGGAAACATCTCACGTGAGGGCCCTGTGACCTGCTTTAAGGAAGAAGGGCAGGGGAAGATCAGAGTTCTTCCTGCCATTTCTCAAATTCCTTCAGCTTGCGATATTCAATATTTCAAGGTGTCACATTTTGGGGTAGTATGTCCTGAGCTTCATGAGGTTAAGTAACTAGCCTGAAGTCACACCATATGTGGAGCCATGAGGATTCAAACTGAGGGTTTACTACAGAATAGGTTGCTTTATTCAATTATGCTGCCTCTCACTGTGCTAGATGCTTCATCCTAGAGTTATCCTGTTTGACGGTCTTATGAGCCTTGTGAGGAACTCACGCTCATCTCCTTTCTGAGGTGAAAAAACTGACTGAGATGACACAACTTGCTAATCAGTACCTTGTTTTTATTAGTAACTGTATTCACAAATGGGTACTTGAACTTCTGATGGTCTACTAAGGATATCTGCAAATGCAATTTGACCAGAACAGTGATAATGTACTAGCAAAAGATTCTCAAGAAAGTGATACGGCATAAAATGGGAAGTGTTAGATTCCCTTCTTAAAACATGAGCTAATCTGAAACAGGTGGAGAAAAAGGGCAGAAAATCCAGAGATTTTGAGGCACTTAAATCAGTACTGAACGTCTACTGCCTCTCAGCAAAGCCCACCCCCTGATCACCTCAAAGCAACCTCTTGTCACAACCAACATTTCCCACATCCAGTGAAGTCAGGACTGGGACAAGAAGTTTTTTAATTATCTCAACCTTTAGAGTAGAGATTTGGTTTTGTTAATAAGGCTATTCAGAGGTTCCTTCTCAACAATGCTTAAGAATTCAGGCAGATGGCTGAGGCTGGTTTTGCCAGGTCTGACCAAAGCATGACCTAAAATTGCTTGGCAATCAACCTTGAACTTTTTTCAAATGATCAGTAAACAGTTACTGATAATTCAGACTCTAAAACAGATCACAGACAGCATCACCAATTTGCTAAAGAAATAATATGAACACGATAAACCCGACTCAAAAAATTGTCAAAATGACAACAAAGCACATGCCAAAGTATAGCCTTTCCCTCTCAATTTCACACCTGAAAAAATTATTAGCCAACCACAATTTAAAAAGCTTCGTATAGGCCGGGCGCGGTGGCTCAAGCCTGTAATCCCAGCACTTTGGGAGGCCGAGGCGGGTGGATCACGAGGTCAAGAGATCGAGACCATCCTGGTCAACATGGTGAAACCCCGTCTCTACTAAAAATTACAAAAAATTAGCTGGGCATGGTGGCGCGTGCCTGTAATCCCAGCTACTCGGGAGGCTGAGGCAGGAGAATTGCCTGAACCCAGGGGGCGGAGGTTGCGGTGAGCCGAGATTGCGCCATTGCACTTCAGCCTGGGTAACAAGAGCGAAACTCCGTCTCAAAAAAAAAAAAAAAAAAAAAGCTTCGTATAAAATTATTAACCAGCCACAGGAACAAAAATGACTTGGAAATATCCACTTTAATTGCCCACAATAGCTGAGATGCTCACCCTTAGAATCATGAAAACCAACAATCCAGTTGGCACAAACTGTTAAGAACACTAGATGTGCCTGCTTGACCACAAGGTAATCAAAGCCACAGCAAAAGCAAAACCCTTTCTTCAAATCTAACACTAGTTTAATATTAAGGAGGATTTCACAGCAGTTAGTCTCTTGAGGAAGTACATAATTAAGTAGTTTTTTAGCATATTTAATTAGACCCCAAACTCTTCCCTGTCCCCTTCTCTCCCCAATTATGTACTATTTGCCCAAGAGACCTAAGCAACTCAGTTAATTATGTAAATAAGGCAAGAGTTATTCCCAAGAAAAACATTGTGAATATTTGTAGGGAAAAAAAACTACATATTTTAGAGGCTTTAACAAATCTTTGTAAAAAAAAAAAAAAAGGAGTATCAAAATACACAGAAAACCTTTACATTTAAGGCAAAAAGCATGGTGTTCCAATGACAAGACAGTGAATCATTAAAAGACACTCATTTCATTTCTTAAATATGAGCCGAATAAAAATAAAATAATTTTAAGTTACAACAGTAACAAAAATTTAGTGCTGAACGTCAGATGATTTATGGGAGGAATCAATCTGAAAATTATTAGAGTCGACTCTCACAGAAAAGGCTTTATTATCAAGGGGTTGACATGATCTTAACTCTAGAGGCAGCCATGGTGCTGTTATAACTACTACAATCCCATTATTATGCAATCACAAAATGCTAATTTGATCATTTTGAGTTGTTATTTGAATAGTCATTTTAATTTCTAGGTTACAAAAAGGCTTGACTCAAGTATAATTCTCTATTAATCATTGAGATGTCATTGAAGATCATATTGATGCATTTCACAAAGATAAAGACTAATTTAATATGTACAGTACAATTCCTTCAAATATTAGCCATTTTCATTACATATCTGCCAAATGCATCAATATTAAATAATAGATGAGAACAAGGGTTTAATTGTATTTTAACAATTGTAATATGTAAGATAATAATACAATAGCATCACATAAGATAGACTTATCGATATCTAGATCTTTCTTAATCAATGCATAATGGTGACTGCTCTGCACTCACATCCTTTGTGGATTACAAATGGACTTGCTATGACAAAAGCATTGAGAGTCTTCAGTGTAAACACACATCTAGCAAGAATAATTCCTTTGTGACTAAGGAAATGGTTTACTTTATTTTTTATTTTCCTGCTGGCACTTCAGAAGTTAGATATACACACACCAAGCAGAGTTCACAACCTTGTGACAAATCCAAACCTAAGTAATTAATAATAAAGTCTATGGTATAAGGAAAATTCTAGAATATTTTAACAGATCTGTGCTTTTTTATATAAACACATTATCACACATTATTCCAGAAATTACATCTCAAACGAGATGGTATCAGGCAATGGAAGCAAATTCTAACTGCTTAACCTAATCCCAATAATAACTTCTCACATATCTAAATGAATCCATTGTAGTATTTTTTAAAAATCCTATACAGTCGAACTCGCCATTTTCCAGAGGTTGACACTCCTGTCCCCTGAGGGAACTTCCTTCACTGTACTACATCCCACAAAACAGGAGAAGGCAGCAAGGGCAGAGGAAAGAGACGCTTTACATCAATAATACAATCTGTAATTTACTAAAAGTGCTTTCAGATGTTTTTTGGAGGAAACTTCCTGAGCATATTAGGATCTATTATTTATGTATTTTGTTTCTAGTTCTTGTTCTTGTTCCCCAGAAACATCAATAACCTCATGTGCTGATAGCCATACAAGCTTACTTAAACCTATGGAAGCCTGCTGAATTGTATGAAGTAAAAGTCTAAGAGAAAACATCTCTGCTCAAAGAGGACAACTGACAGAGCCAGCTCATGAAAAAACAAGCATAAGCGAAAAGCTATATGTTTTTTTAACTGCAATGGTTTTGAAATAAGACAAATTACACACAACCCCTCCAGGCAAAGAGCTATCACTCAGCACCCCACACCACCGCCAGACAGCAAACATCATGGCAACAAATACAAAAATCAACCACTATTGTCTTCTGAAAAAGGCCCTGTTCAGGTCAGCATGGAGACACAGATGGCAGGGGGTTGGGAAGGGGTGTTGTATATGCAACCAGGATCCACCTGAAATAGTGGCCATTTTTCTAAAAGGAAAACAAACACACTTTTTTTTTTTTTTTTTTTTTGAGACGGAGTTTCGCTCTTGTTACCCAAGCTGGAGTGCAATGGCACGATCTCGGCTCACCGCAACCTCCGCCTCCTGGGTTCAGGCAATTCTCCTGCCTCAGCCTCCCGAGTAGCTGGGATTACAGGCGTACGCCACCATGCCCAGCTAATTTTTTGTATTTTTAGTAGAGACGGGGTTTCACCATGGTGACCAGGATGGTCTTGATCTCTTGACCTCGTGATCCACCCGCCTCGGCCTCCCAAAGTGCTGGGATTACAGGCTTGAGCCACCGCGCCCGGCCAAAAACAAACATACTTTAATTTTATAAACAGCAAATTGTTAGCACAAACAGGCAAAAAATAAAGTTATCCTCCATAGCGAGTGTGGAGATCCCCCTACAGTGAGATACTGAAAGGCAAGTAATAGCCTAGAATTCTGAAATGAAGCTGATTTCAACAATCTACAATTATAATAAAGAATCAGTGAAGACAATGGAAATTGCCTCCCAGAACCACTTTCAAGGCTTTCCCAACACAATTAGAGTTTGATTAATCACAATCTAACTAATCCAACTTCTCAAGTATGCTTAGGAGATAAAACAGATTAAAAATCCACATATACATATTTCTCTCTTCCTTCCTCCCCCTCCCCTTTCTCTCTCTCTCATATATATAAACATATATATAAAAACATATATATACACACACACACACACATACATACATATAAATATGTTTGGGAGGATTAAAATACAACAGTCCTGAGATATCTACACACAGAGAGAGAATGAAAGATCACAGGACTGTTTTTAATTCTCCCAAATATATTCCTGTGAAAACAACACTGAGCCCAAAGTCATACCTTTGCATCAACAGTCTTAGAAAATGTGAGTGACATTCTGTAACTGTCAACTGACATTCTATGAAGCATTTCTGAAACCTTAAGTCTAATAATAATACCAACAACAACTCCACTCAATTACAGTTTTACTTAAAGGGACAAAGTCTCATTTTTACTTACCTTGCCATCAAATTTGGAATACTCGTTAAAGGGGTTATTCAGCTGCAGAGGGCACTGCTCTAGGCGTACAGATAATATTGACTGCTTTCCAGAAATTGGAGGCTTCTCTTTGAGAGATTTTTTTTCAAACAGTGACTTTAACTCCTGGGCTGTGATACAAGAGGAAGATAAAAACATCTTTGTGATTACACAGAGACAACTTGTCTACATTCCCTAAAAAGTCTTCCTTGGAACCTTAAGGAGAGAACATCCAGGGACATATTCAGGTCAGATGTATGCAGAAAGCCCACAATATACTGTGCACTGAAAAGGCTGACCATGGAAGAACGTGCTGACCAGGATAGTCAATTTTGAAAGAGCAGGGCTTAAGGGAGGGGGCAACAAAGGAGCCATTTTATAAGAAGAGCACTCACAGCCAGGAGACCTGAGCTTTGGCCTGGCTTTGCTACTAACAGCAAGCTATGTGATAGTGAACACTTCTCTAAATCTCTCTGGGCTTGTCAAACAAGATAATCTCAAAGATCTCTCCTGCCTCTAATATTATGTGATTTTGGAATTCTAGTTCTTCAAGATCAAGATCCACTTACTAACCCTTTAACATTCTCCAATTGCACCTTGCACAAACTCTTGATGCCAAAGATGAGGAAGAGAAAAAGAGAAAGGTTATTTATAATAATGGTAGCTAATATTATTACTTCTCAGCCTTTTGGCTAAGATCAAGTGTAGTAACAGTAGCTAACATTTATTTAGCAAGCCAATATATCTCATTTAATCCTCATAACAAGCCTATGAGGTAGATATTAGCGTTATCTTAAATTTGTCAGTGTGGAAACAAGCTTAGAATATTTTGAGTAGCCCTAGACCACACAGCTAATAAGTAACAGAATTAGGATTTGCACCCAACCAAGGTTCTTATACATTAGGGCACTAATGAACAAAGTAGATACACAATAAGTTTTTTTGCATGAATGACTGAAATAATTCAGATTATTATTAAATGTGAATCTTCAGTTCTTATTCATTAGTGAACAAAGACAAGTTCCATATCTTTTCAAAGATCATTTAATTATCTAAATCAATTGGAATATCAATCAAGGTGGTGGTAGCCAGATGGTAAGTACATGAGGGTCATTATACCTTTTATTTTTGTGACTATCAGAAAATGTCCACACTTAAAGTTTTTAAGTAAATCAATCTGAGACTTCAAAATCTGCAATAACCATGTTCAACCCCATTCCACTTTAGTATAATCAAATTAAGAGAGATAACAGAACTCCAAAACAGTCACTTAGAGCTTGCCAAAAAATGTAACTGCACCTGGGCACCATGGCTCAAACCTATAATCACAGCACTTCGGAAAAGTGGGAGGATCACTTGAGCACAGAAGTTCAACATATCAACATATTAAACACAGATCTGAAGAGGAATTAGATTACAATTCTATTAAAGTAATATTTTAAATATAGGAAGTACTTTTCTACCTGTAATCTATGACCAGTTTCATGGTTACAACTGGGAAAGAAATGATCCTTTATTAAGCATCTATTATGGGCTAGGATCAATACTAGGTATTTTCCCCACCTGGCAGTCTTCACAGATCCTAAGAGAGACGTTACTACTAGCTCCATGAAGAAACTGAGGAATCCCAAATAAAAGCAAGGTGCAGACGTTACACAGCTGTTACCAATAGGGTTAGGTGCAAGGTGATGCTATAACTAACCCTTTCATTCTCAGACATTTACACTCAAACCTCTCTCCTCAACCTGACATCTCCCCTCTTGCTCCTTTGTTGATGCTTGGAGAAAGAGAAACAACTAAAGAGAACTTTTGCATGCTCTCATCTGCACTTCTATCTGCCTGTCCTCCTACTACCATGGATGAACTCCCTCTGCCCCTACTTTAGGCCAGCCCTTTCCTTGTGCTCTAGATCCCATCCCTCTTGTCAACTCATGAACAGCTCTCCAGCAATTCTCTTATCTCTCTTCCATTGCCAATTTTTCTCTTACTGGATTAGTCGCATCAGCAAACAGTGCTGCTCATTAGAGGGAAAAAAAGCCTCTATCTATCCCATACTCCCTCCCTTCTGGTTACCATCCCATTTTTCTGCTTCTCAAAATGTCCATCTGTATTCTTACTGTCCAGTCCTTCCACTCCCATTCACTCAAATCCACTCCAATCAAACATTCGGGCCACACTACTCCACCAAAACAGCTTTCACTGAGGTCACCAATGATCCCTTTGTTGATAAATCTGTTGGCTAATTTTTTAATCTTCATCTTACAAGATGTCTTGGCAGCATTTGATACAGTTCATCACTCCCCTCCTGTTCTAACATTTTTTTTCACTTGCTGCCCAGGACTCCACTCTATTTGGCTCTTACACTCTCTCTCTCAGGCTACTCCTTCTCCGTCCCTCTGCTGACTCCTCTCATATCCCCCTTGAATCACCGGGATTTCCCAAGGCACAGCACTTGGACCCCTTCTTAATCTACATTCACACCGTTGGTGATTTCATCTAGTCGTATGCTTTTAAACACCATCTATAAGGGGCAAAACTAAACTGTGTTGACACAAATCAGAATAATACTTGCCTCTGGAGAGTGGAATTACTAAAAGGGGACACCAGGGAACTTTTTTGGGGTGACGGAATTGCTCCACACTTGTCTAGGATGCTAGTTATATAAATGTATATGTCTATCAAAAGTCATTGAGGTGTACAATATTTGTACATTTCACTATATGTAAAGCTACCTCAAGAAAAGTAAATTAAAAAGGGAAACCACAAGTAAATATCCTCTACATGCTAGTAACTCTCCATGGTTATTTCTAACCCTAAACATTTCCAGAAATTATAGACTCACTCATCCAACTTTCCACTTGACAATTCCACTTGGATGTCCACTAGGCACTTCAAGCGTTACCTATCCCTAACCAAACTCTTGATCTTTCCCCAAAGCTCCCACTCCCACAGTCTCCTCAGTTATGGCAATTCAGTCCTGTTAGACCAAAACCTTGGGAGTCATCCTGACTTTCCTTTCTCACCTCCTACATCCTACTCGTCAACAAAAGCTATTCAGAACCGTGGCTACCGCTAGCAACACTGTATTATCATCACCACCTTCAAATCCACCTTACTGTTTCTGCCCTTGCCCTGGCCACCCGGACCCTTGTTTCTTCCTGACCCAGCAGCAATAGGAGTCTTTTAAAAGACAAGTTATAAACTTCAGAATAAGGATAAAAACTGGTAAATCTGACCACATAAAACTTTTGTATGGGAAAAAAATTAGTAAAAAGACAAATGATAAATTAGGAAAGAATAAAGGTCAATATTCCTAACATATAAATATTCTAAAAGAAGACACTGAACAACACACATAGAAAAAAATGACAAAAAATGTAAAATGTTCACAGAAAAAGAAATGTAAACAGCTCTTAAACAAATGGAAAGATTCTCAACCATATTCATAAAAGATATGAAAATTAAAACTACATTCCAATCAGATTGGCAAAAATCTAAAAGTTTGAGGCTCTGAGGACATAGATACTTCATATGTTACCGGTGGGAACATGAAGCAGCAAAAGTTCTATGAAAGGGAATTTAGAAGATCAAGGAAAATCACATCTACATTTACCCTCTTACCAAACAATACCACTTAGATACCTTGGTAAAGCAAAACTTTAAAAATTGTGCATAAAACTATTTCCTGCAGTGCCATTTGCAAAAGCCTAAAAACAATCAAACATCCCTTACCAGGGCATGGGTTGGCACTGGTACATCCATATCACCGAATATTACCCAGCTGTAAAATGGAATGAAGCTTATCTCTCTATATTGCTCCAGAATAATCCTCAGAATATGTTACCAAATGAAAAAAGTATTGTACAAAATAGTATGTATAGTATGTTATCTTTAATCTAAAAAATGGGGGATATGAGGGATATAAATATGCTTATAGTTTTAAATGAACCAAAAAAACTTTTTAAAAAGGACTACAAGAGTGAAGGAAACAAAGTGAAGCTAGAGTTCTGACTTTATCTTGCTTTTATGTTTTTGACTTTGAAGCCATGTAAATGTTTAAATAATTATAAAAGAAAATTAAAAGTGTAGCCTCTAAAAACAAAGGCAAAATGAAATAAATGAACCTAACTATAATAATGACTTGGCAGATTAACTACAAAGAGAATTATTTTAAATAACTTTTTTACCCAGTAAATGACCCAATTTCTTCAACAAATAAATTTTAAGAAAAAAAGTGAGAGAGAAGCTATAGATTAAAAAATGAGGCATTAACCAAAGTAGTAGATGGATCTTGATCCAAATGTGAACAAACCAATGGGAAAGAAGAAAAATTTGAGATAATTAGGGAAATACAAACAATTGGCTATTTAATAATATTAAATAATTATTTATTGCCCAGGAGCTGTGGCTCACAACTGTAATTCCAGCACTTTGGAAGGCCAAGCAAGGCGGGCAGATCACTTGAGCCCAGGAGTTAAAGATGAGCCTGGGCAACATGGGAAAATCCCATTTCTACAACAAATGCAAAAATTAGCCAGGAATGGTGACATATGCCTGTAGTCTCAGCTACTTGGGAGGCTGAGGAGGGAGTATCACTTGAGCCCAGAAGGTTGAGGCTGTAATGATGTTCATGCCACTATACTCCAGCCCAGGTGAAAGTACAAGACCCTGTCTCAAAATGAAAATTTTTTTCTTCATAATTTTATTTAAAAATGTTAAATGTTTTTAATGTAATAATTATTAAACATTTCTTTATAATTAACAATATAAAGAATTTTAAACGATACAAAGAATATTAAGATAATACTAATTTTTTTTTGGAGAGTAGTATCACAGTTTTATTATGTGTTAAAAATAAAAAATATTTAGATACGAAATTATATAGTAGCTGGGATTTGCTTAAAAATAATCTGGGAGGGCTGGCAGTAGAATGTATAAATCAAACAGGACCAGCCACGTACTGATCACTGTTGAAGCTGGTAGATGGGTGAAGGGAGTTCATTAAACCATTCTATTTCTGTATGTTTGAAATTTTCTACAATAAGCAGTTTTTTGGGTGTTTTTTTTTTTTTTTTGCGACAGTCTCACTCTGTTGCCCAGGCTGAAGTGCACTGACACAATCTCGGCTCAC